TCAAGGCACATTTCAGATCCAACCAAACTAAGTACATAGAATCCAAGGCCTTCGATAAACATTCACCCTTCGCGACAGAAGGGCAAAGCAAATTTTAAATACATACTATTTTAACTGAGCACTCACAAGGACACCATACTATGGAGGAGCAACAGTTCACATTATTACCTAAGGCTGCGAGTCTTTAGTCATCTTATTCTCACTTAAACCATTAATTTCCTTCTATTCTAACCAGTTTATCAGTGAATATGCTGAAGCACCAGACTATGTGCTAGAGATCTAAGTAACACTTCAGAAATCTTAACTATCACTTGCCACGGCTATTTCCAAGTTGTCTGTTCGACCCAATTCTGCCTTGGGGTAGCCCCTCTTCCTAAAACATTAACCCTCCCCAAACTACCCAGCGCCACGCCCGGTGACACTCACATTCACCAAGAGCGTCATGCAGGGGCAGCTTTGGTTCCTGGTGGGTACACCCCGGTGCGTTACCATTAGAACATCCTCGTCACCTTTGAAAGATGCTTGACAAACTATACTAGGTAGCAATCACAAAGATCAAGAACTCCAAAAAACTAGATTTTCTGGGAAATGTGGGACTGTGGCCAACAGGGTTTTCTGCCTCTGACAAGAGTCAGAAGAGGAAAAAAGGAACCCTCTCCAACTAGTTTTAGCCCAGATTCCCTCCAACCACGACTGTGTAGCCTCCAAATCTGCATTGGAACAAGCACCCAGTTGCCCCTGATCAAGTTCCGCTCAAGCAGGTTTTATGAGGGAGACTAAAACACACGTTTACCTTTATTTCAAGTGTTCATGCATTCGGCATTTACTGAACACCTACCATGTGCCACATATTGTTAATGTAAGTAAGACCTAGGGTTCGTGTAGTTATCAAAAGCAAGTCCCTGCCCCCACGGGGCTTACACGCTAATGAAGAGACTGACATAACCGAAGACATAAAAATAGCAAAGCAACCTGGGAATGGTTCATTTAAAAAATAAAAGACATCTGATTTTAATAAACTAAATGCAGATTTTGAAAGATATCCTCGTCTCAGTTATAGCATTTGACCAACATTCTAATACACAAGTAGATACATTAATAAAAACACACCCTAAAGAAAATTGAGTAAAAATCATCAGGACCAATAAATAAAAGATGTTAGCAATATTTTATTTTCAATAACCTGGTAAATCTCTTAGTCTTCTTGATAAAATGTGCAGTGTTAAACTAATAACATATTAAGTATCAACACCCAAGCCCTGATGATCATTATCACGCATGGCCTCCTACCCCTGCCCAGGGTTGTCCCTTCCCATGTCAACACTCTTCTGAATAAAGAACTTCTCCCTTCATTATCCTAGTCACACCACTCCTTTACCTGCCGAATCTTCATCAGATACGTGAGGAGCTGGGCCATAGGCTAACATATAACCCAGCCAAAGGAAATTAGCTAAAAATATTTTTGCAAGTTCAGTCCTTTTCTAAAAGAAGAAAACTAACATTAAATGGGCTTTCTCAATTTTGTTTGGCTGTGTTGACTTATGGATTAGCTTTATTTTTGTAAGCAAAAGTAATCATATAAATCATTCAACTCATACAATGAGCTGTTCAAGTCATAATTCTTAAGCAGTAAAATAAACTGTGAAAAATCTGAAATTTATACAATATTAGTATCAATTCTCAGAACAGGCACAGTTGCATATGGCTATGTATTTCATGCCCATTTTGTCCAGATGGTTTTGAACTTCTCTTCATTGGTAAATTGAAAACCAAGGAAGAAAGATATATAGGAACAGAAAACAAAAAAGTCACAGTTGAGCAAGTGTGGTATATAGCAAAACCTGCTGTACCTCAAAAATACAATTCTACAGACCATCTGATAACCAGGCTCTCTGTAAACTCTTGTCAGCGCAGAAGAACAAAGCAGTGTCAAAACAGGTCCACAGGCAAGCCAAGCCCAGCTGCAAAATCAACAGCTGGACAGACATTACTTTTCAACATAAAATTATCCTGGCTTTCCTCTAACGGCTGTCCGATACACTTGTTTTATTCATGTTTGGCAAACTTTCCAAGATGACTTCAAGAAAGTCGATGAGGATCACTTTCCCAGAGAAACAATGGTTAGTAAAATTTCGAAAAGAAAATGCAATTTGGAAAAGCTATAATTTAGCTTATGTATTACAACCGAGTTGGAACATTAATAATTTATTAGATATGTGCCTTTTGTCAACTGTTACTCTGACATTCTTGTTTAAAAACCAAACTATGAACATTAGTGGATTAACGAACGTCTCTTCCCTCCAACAAAGGCCTAATATGACAAAAGGGTAAATTACTATTATGCCCTTTCCCTTTTTTCTAAGATTTAAAAAAAACCACCAAATATATATAGTTCTCCCTCCTCTATTTCCTATATATAAATTGAACTTCCTTCACATTTAGGCAATTCTAAAACCAAGTCATTCTTGCCCCCCAAAAGAGATAGTTACACAAAGTAACCTGTGAATTAGTTTCTAGTCATGCAGTAATTTTCCAAATAGACCCAATTTAATTAGTCCAGGTTTCATATTAATATGGCATTTAAATATCAGTAACTACAATTTGGAATAACACATTTTTAAAAAGTCATGATTATTCACATTTCCTTGTTTAAAAATGGCATAGATAGCAATTTAATTCATAGTAACCTATCTGAATACAATTAAGGACATTTTGTTGCTACACAATAGAATTCATATTTAAACAAACCTGCTCATTTGGGCCACTTATGAAGTGGCTTACATAAACTAGTAAAAGTCTAAGGTCACTTTTGCAGCTTTCCAATATATAATAAATATGCAAATTAAATGTTTATATTAAGTGGAAGCCCAAATGCTGACTTTTAATTAATAGGTAAGATTTATTTTGGGCATACCTGCTAGCAAAGTGTCTGGATAATTTACTAAATTCTTAGTTCCTCTTTGTCAAATGTCATCTTTACCTACCACCAAAGATCAATGTAGACATGGTAAAATAATGGTTTCCATCATTTGTGCTCTAAATTAATGAGATTTTACCATATTGATATTTAACAGAGCATACATTTAGAAGGATGCAAACTTCTACTCCTTCATATCCAGAAGTCAAATTTTAATTCAACAAAGCTAACGTTTACACAGAACGCAGAAATAGGTCCCGAGTGTATACTCCACATACTTTAACTGTAACTTAAAACAAAACTGCTTATTTCATGGCAGCCTGGAAAGAATAATTATGTAATAAACGACAATAAATAAAAGCCACTTATCATATAGTCTAGTCTTTATTGAAAGACTTAACTTCAACTGTGGTTTACAGCTTTGGCTTATGTTGGCCAGTCATTTTAGCCTCTGCCTGCCAGCAGACATAAAAATCAAGTGGGAATGCCATGGATGGAAATATTAGTAGAGAGATTATTAGAGCAAAGAAGATGGCAGTCAGAAACACATCACCAAAGTAAATCTCAAAATAATTATAAAATAAGAAACATCTGTTGCATGCCAAAGAATCTCTGCTGTTGTTTTAATGAACATGGAAAAGGCAACGGTTCTTAGGCTTAGATTGGATCAAGGCAGCACTGACTTCACTTTGTTATAAAATAGTCTCAAGTCTGTGTTAACTTGACAGTTGTATTCTAAAATGGTACATTTCATTTGGATAAGTAGTTTTATGTTTTAAAAAGCCGTTTAATATGAAATAATATCCATTCACTGAGCTGATCATGAGATCCTGTTCTCTTTTAGATTAAGACGAAGGACACTTCAGTCATGTGTTTACTATGGCAATATAACCTGTCCTGATACTTTTATTAAATCCTAGAAGATACAACTAGGAAACATTGTAGCTGTATTTGGCTGTTATCACAATTAGCTGTTTAATTTACTGGCAGACCAAAAAAGGCAAACTGAGAATTTAATAGGCTTTTTTCAATATATTAAAAAAGTCTTTAATTGTTCAAGTTTCACATATATTCAAGAAAATTTTAACTAGGAGGCATAATTGATATAATTTGAGTGTTCTCCTTATAAAATATAAAGCAACTTTTCCATAATATCCCCAAAGACACTATCTGTGAACAAAAGAAATAAGGGTAAATTTTAATAACAGAAGAGTACTGTGGTTAAAACTAAAGTGCCATAAAAATTTGGCCCAAAGATGAAGAACTTCAGACCCTGTGAATCTTCAGGTTTAGTAACATTTGGTTTTATTTCTAAATGGGAAAGAAAGAAAATAATACCAAAATTATTGTGGTGACCAATTTATATAACCATCATTATTTCAAAGCTAATTGTAATATTTCAAAAGTTTAAAAAATAGTGATCTGTGGGTGTTAGCTGCAATTTCCTACTTAATTGTAAAGGGTTTTCTCACTTTGGTGCCCAGGCCTCAAAACATTTCAAATGCACTGCCTAAACATTTGCACCCTCTAGCTGTCAGAATTCAAATACATAGGATTTTCTCTCTTTTACATTCCTGTTATGATAAAAATTTGAGGAAGATTTTTATCCACATAGCCTGAAAAATACCTCAGAAGCAAACTTCAATCTTATACATCTACCCAACCAGTTCATTTACAAATTCTGCACTCACACAACTCAGCCTCTGTTCAGGCTCGTCATCCCATGCACACTACCCACACAAGGAGAACAAATTAAAAATAAAAGTCACAACTCTGTGTACTATTTAAGCTGAATATCCAATTATAAATTGGTAGATTGAACTGTCTAAATAAGATGCTTTAGCAATCTTGTTAAAAAAAATTCTTGGGCAAAATATATCTAATTTTAAAAAACACCAAGATTTTTAAAAAACACTTGTACTATACAACTTATAGGAATCTTGAAATAGGTTTACAAGGTTTTAATCAAGGTATTTACATACCAAGTAATGTAAATAAAAAAAAGAAAAAAAAATCTAATTTCCAATGACATTTTAAAATGTACTAATGCATCAAAGATTTATATGAAATTAAAATTAAGGCCTTTTCTGTATAGTAATTTGTATAATTTTAATTTTACATAGTAGCCAACCTGGAAATGTCTTAAACATTCTTACCAATCCACTGCATTCAATGCAATGGAGTGCGTTAAGTGTTACTTCAAATAATTACATTGCTGCTACTTCTATGTTGAAGCATGCTTTTTAAACACTGTCGTTACTCAATATTTACAATGTATATCGTTTAAACTTCATGTAAAAGCACAAGTATGACTGTCTGACTTTAATACAAACACCATACTTGGAATCCCCCACCCCCAAATGAAATGTGATTTACTACAGTTTTAATAACACTTTTTAAAGTTTTAAAAATAGGTCTTAATGTGGACCACCAAGATTTGCTCAAGTAACTCACACAACGCTGTTTCTTATTTAGGTTGCAAAATTTCTTTATCAGTCTGGCTTCAGTTTCTTTAGGCATAGAATAAATATTTCCTCCAAAGCGACTCCGAAACCATGCATTTCTTCTCAATATCACACTTTTTTTCTGCTGACTTCGAATGTGGTCCACCTCAGGGTAGGGGAAGGGAGTAGCAAGGTTCAGGATGAACTTATATGTGATTCCCAGTTATTCATGATCCTCCCTTTTTTTGCTCTTTTAAAAACACAGTGAGTTAAAATACTGAGGAGCCAGATAAAAATGGAATAGTATCTAAGAATCAAAATGGATTACCCAGTTCTCCTATTATATCAAAATTTGTAGTCAAGAATTGTCTTTATTGACTTTATTTTAGTTTTTGTACACAAAGAAAAATCATGTTCATATCCATCATGAACAAAAACTTAAAAAGGCAGAACTAGAAGACATGTGTCCTTCACCAAAGCAAAGCTGTGCTAAAGGTTCCAAACATTTCAATTTTTAAAATAAATATTTTCATTTTCCGATGTCTACTTCCATGTCTTCAGAATGTCACAGGATACTGAAGCTATCATGAATTACAATTTTGTTTAGAGTCCCAGCTCACTGTGTTTGGTAACTTGCCATACCATATCCAGCTTGGTTAGGAGGAGGTATTACGGGGGGAGGAGCTTGTCCTTGGGGAGGCTGAGCACCAAATCCACCCATCCAAGCAGCAGAAGGTGATTGACTTGGAAGAAAAAAATAGAATCTTCAGCAAACACAAGAGAAAAATTATATATTTATACAAAAATCAAGCTGAGCCTAACTACAGAATAAACAAGAAATCAACAAACCTACAACAAAGGGCAAGGAAACTTGTACTATACAACTTATAGGAATTGGAATATTATATATAGAATAATATTCCAATATTAGTTTTAAATTTTTGTGAAGATAACCACAACTTAACACGATAACTTCTCTGAATGGTATTTCAAAACTAATTTTTAAAAAATAACAAATGATTCAATATATTATCTATCTACCGCATACTGCACAAAGCATATGAATTTACAAGAAGTTTCAAAAACAGTAGTACACATTGGAAAGAAAAGGAAGGGGTGAAAATAAAGGGCTGGCGGAGGTAGAAAAGTGCAAGAGACCAACCCACTCAATATCAAAAAGGAAAAAAAGCAAGCTACTTCGTATCAGATAAATCTGAGACTTCTCACACAAGCCAACAGGTATAAATCATGAAATTTCTGAACATACCTAGATAAAGACCTTTTCCATGCAAAAATAAATAAGTAGATGAAACAGTATATTACAAATATAAATCAAATTCTGCCAACTGCTTTTAGAGGTAGCAGGACACACCAAGTTACCCCAACCTCCCTTTTTACCTAGGTTATAAAAAGCAAATTTTTAGCATTATAAATCATTCCTCATAAGGTTTCTAAATGCTTCTAATTCCACATAGTTCGATATATACAATTCGAGTTCTCCCTAAGAAAATACACTCTTTTCTCTCTTTTCAGAACCATCTGTTTCTGGACTAGAAAAACCCACTTACTCTACTCCAAATCCTTGTTGATTCCACGGTTGCCCGTACACTCCATAAGGCGGGACTTGCCACCCATTTGCCATATACTGTCCATACTGTTGTGGGTTTCCATAAACTTGGCTCCACTGACCCCACTGACTATAGTCGACCTAGGAAAAAGCAAGTTACGGTTTTAGGGAACAAGAAAGAACCACAGTATTTGAAGAAAGTGGGAGACAAGGAAGAGAAAAACTAAGTAAGCACCCTTATGTGAATAGGACTCTGTTATTTATCATTGTCTAAGTTTATTGGGGTGGTGACACCTGTGAAAAGAAAGTATTAAGATTCAGTTAATACCACAAAATAATCACTTTAGAAATAGCATCAATAACATCAACTGAAAGCGGCTATGTGCTTGGCTTTTCGTTTGCCTCAGTGTCTAAAGCTTTGGTGCAGACATGTGGGATGGGAACCTTAAGGAGCGCTATGAAAAAGTGAGTTACCTGCTGGAAATTTTTAGTCATATCAGGAGATTCTTTACCCCAATAGCACTTAACAACATGTCCCTCAATCGCAGTGCCGTTCACCGAGACGATGGCATGCGCAGCACTCTCATGGGTTGAAAATCTAAGAGAGGAAGAGGAGTGTTTCCTTTTTTTTAAAAAAAGACACAGTAAATAACACAGATGCTCATTAGTTTTTAACTGCTGATTTGGCATTGGTACCCTAAAGTACATGATGACGTAGTTGAAAGTTCTACATTGCAAATTAGTACCAAAATAAACTTGATACCTGAGGGGATCAAATAATACAACTGAAAGAAATGGGCCAAACGTAAGAGTAATAATATTACAGGCAGAACTTTACCTGACAAATGAGTAGCCCTTCTCTGGAAAAACTCTTATTTCCATGATTTGTCCAAATGGTGAGAATGTCTGTCTCATAAGCTGATCTGAAAAAAACATACAAATAAAATATTTAAGGCTCATGTTTATCATGAAATTGGCACTAACGGTGATGAAGCGCCACAGAGAAAAGGGTCAGAAAAACGAACACTGAACCTGTTAACCCGGAAGCAATTCCTCCACAGTACACAGTACAATTTTTTGGACTTGACTGGTTTACTACATCTTCAAATCTCAACTGCTTAGTGTTATCTGTATGTAGAAAGAAAACAAAAATGTTGCTTTTTGTTACAATTGTACAGTATTGTAAAACTGATTACTACATATTAAGATATGCCGCATTTGGGGGGGCAAAATGGAATTTTCCTTCTTGACACTATCATTTGATCTATAAAAACCAGCTGGTTCACAGCTCCAAATACTTGTATCAAAGCCCAATTATTTTCAGACAGTTAAATTCAAGATGAAACGAGTCTTGCAATGGTAATAAAATTTTAAGAAATTAAGACTGTACTCATATGTGGTTTTGTGAAGTAGCCAAAATTTTAATGTATATAGTAATATCTTACTTTCTTGTGTACTTTTAGGTGCAGGGGGTTTACGTGTGGCCCAATTGGTTCTGATTTGACGACCACCTAACCACTGACCTCCCATGTGCACAATGGCATTTTCTGCATCCTATGGAGGAAAAAAGAGAAAGAAAGAGCAATTGCAAACATTACGAACTCAGAAAATAGTGATATATAGGATGAAATAAAATATTGGTACTGCTGGATCCAATAAATCTTATCAGTAAATGAATTCACTAAGTATCCTAAACAAACAAAACTCACAAAAAAGTGATTTGAATTGAGTGATTCATAAAAGCTATTATTACTTATAGATTTCAAAACTCCAGAACAACATTTAAGCATCAAGGGAAATTTATCATAATTCAAATATGCAAGGAAAATATCACAATCCCACTGATTACCAAAATAAAAAGGAAAGTAGAAATCCTCGAAGACAAAGTTGTTTCCAAGTATCTTAATTTTCTGGATGATTTGTAATCTTTTATTGTAGAATATAAAAATTCCAACCTACCCCCAAGAATTGACATTCTACTAACAATGAATTATAACTATGATACAAGATTAAAAACTCATTTTAAGACAGAAGACATCTGCCTTGTTAGAGAATGCTGTAAAATGGCTGCCACCAATAAAAAAAGTTTAGATTCTCAGAAGTGATGTGAATCGAAAATGAATCCAAGCAAAGGAATATAATTCCTGCCCTTTATCTTACCGCTTCAATAAAATGCAGGTAATTTAAATTGCTCCAACTGTTCTAAAATGCTAATGTCAAAGCCCGTTTTATTATTCGAAATTAGTTAATGCAAATGCTTAGATATTTTGGTACCTCTTTCTTAAAGAATATGTACAAAAATCAAGATGAACTGCTTAAATTTTCATTTACATAATTTGCTGTAATCATTAATATCCTGGCTACAAAAGTATGAATAATTAAAAAGTTAAAACTGAGAGTTTCATGGTTAAGACTAAATATAATTTAACTTTCCTCCAAGTACTGAGATAAGCTCATTTGTCCTAGTCTTGAGGTTTACTTCCGACACATCTTACCTTCACCAATGCACAAATGCAACTTTAATACTATTCCTTATACTCAGCCTACCTTTTTCCAGGTATTTATTTCCAAGTTTATGGAAAAAAAAAAAAAAGAATTATGCTCTTATTAAAACACACAAAATTACATAAAAGCTATGTTTGTAGTTAAATCTAAGAATCATCAAGTCTTGAATTAGATAATGACTAAATTTTGTATTAAATTTAAATTGAGTAGAAAGAACGTACCAGTTTGTTATAAAAAGATACAAAACCATAGCCTTTGGATTTTCCAGTTGCCATGTCTTTAACTACTCGGGCATCCCTGTGAAAAGAAGCACAGCTAAATGAGGGAAGTAAGAGTCATCCTCAAAATAAAAACTAAAAGGAACCACACACACTGTATTGTGAGCATTTTTTTAAATAAAATTTCAGTTAGCCCTAATTAACTACAGCCATTCCTGAACTCTCCCTAACGCTTCTTTACCTGTTAGAAAAAAGCAGTAGGACAAAAACATGTAATAAACATGCAACCTAATCAAATAGCCTGTGCTGTCTAAACTAAATGCTCAAATCTGAAGATTAATAGGAACAATAGTTTCCTTTTCTAATATTCTACTGGCTAGTGTCCGCTAAGGTTTACTGATTCTATAAATTACTGTAACAATGCTAACTACTTTACCATGCAATCTCTAAATAGTTAAATGTCTTCTGCCTAGTGATACAAAATATATGAAATATTAAAAAATTGAAAAAGAGGAAAAAATAGGAATTAAAAAGGCATACATGGCCTGTTAACAGATTTCTTTATTTTTCTTGGTCAATTCTCTACCATCATTTTGGAGTTTGGGCAGCTGTAAATTTTGAAAAATTGACATTTTCAGAAATTTAAGAAAGGAGAATAAAAAACTAACAACAATGCTAAGCACACCAGTACGAAAACAACAAATTTACACAGAAATTTTAGTGAGTAAGTTAAAATGATTGGAAATATAGAACTCCACTGAATATAGAATGTTAAAATGTAAATACTAAAATATGTATATATAAATAATGTATAATAAGAATAAATAGAAATGAGAAAAAAATCTACAACTGAGTTCCAGTGTGCACAGTTCCTTGCAGTTAGCCTTCAAGATCCTGTCCATTCTTATGAGCAATTCTGCAAAATAACCAGAATGCTATTACTTTTAATTGTGACTTGGACTTTAGAAAAACTGCAGGTCTCAGGTATAAATAAAGATTGAAAAACAGCAACCTGTATTATTTTTTATACTGATTTTTAAAACAGTACTACTTACCACATCTAGAGATTAAAAAGCAAAGCAAATATCAAAATAGAAAATTAAGAATTAAATGCTTCTTTCAAATAAATTAAATCTATAGAACAACAAGAAGGTACAGAGAAAAATATTGTTGTTCTTAGTTGAAACATATTCCTGTAAATACTAAAATGTTTAATTTAAATCTACAGAAAATAAATATATAAAATAAATGGATCTCAATCAAAAAGATAATATTATGATAAACATTTTATATAACTTGTAACCACTTTTAATTTTCCAATATATTTAATTAAGTAACATACAGTGAAATTTGAGCATAAAACTTGTTAAAAATCAAACCACATTTGGGCCCTAACTAGAAGAATAAAATAGCATTAACAAAAAAATCTATTGTAATCCCACATTTATGGCTCAGACATTGAAACATTTTAATACTACAATAGTACTACTACTCAGGTACAATAACAAAACACATTTATCATTATAATTAAACATGCGCATTTTCAATTTAACCACAATATATCCAAGGATTTACCTACTCTCCCCCATTTATAAACTCCTTTAAAAGTTTAATACATAGTATAAATCACATTTACTTTTGGTTAACCCATTATCTTTAAACATCGAATTTTGAAAACATTTGACAAAAAGTTGGACTTTATAATAGGTTTTTACCACCCAAACATCTGCTTCAAAGATAACAAACAGAATCACTTAAGATTTTTTTTAACATATTATACACAGGATTAGATGAAAACAAGACCCTAAAACATTAAAATGACATTAACATTTCAACAACTACTAATCAAAAAACAAAACAAACAAACAAAAAAAATCACATTAACTAGGGTAAGAAAATCTTAATTCCTATACAAGTTAATTATATACAATTTTGCCTATCACTACTGAATATAGTATTGATTATGATACTTACGATATTTTACCAAAAGGGGCAAATGCTGATTTGATATCTTCTGTTGTAATTTCTGGACTCAAATCCCCAACAAACACATGGAAGTGATCTGAAATCAAAGCATTTGGTAATCAAATACTTAAGAAATAAGCTACTCAACCTTTTATCGGCAACACTAAGGGAAGGAAAAAACCCTACTTAGGCTGGTAATGCTGCCAAGATAATTTCAGAACTCTTCCACAGTAAAATGCAGCAGGAGTACTTACTGGAAGTATCTTTTTTCTGGCTACTTGGTGTTGTTGCCCAGTTTACTTTGACCTCCTAAAAATAAAGATTATATTTAATACAATTATTAGATATGTCATTGTGAATCACAACACTTGCCACTTATTAAATCATTTATCAAGCAGGATAATTTCTGTAAAAGCACTAGGCTGAATAAAGCAAAACCATCACTCAGCAGAGCTTAATATTTGTTTAAAAACTTGCTAAGAAAGAATACAAACTAATTTGACATGCAAACACATATACTCGTGAGGTGGCATTATTGTATTATCTTACCTTTCCCAAAATTTTTCTCCCATTCATAGCAGCTAATGCAGCAGCTGCATCTCTGTGTTCATAAAATTCCACAAAGCAATATGGGTCATTGCTTGTATGCTGCAAAACAGAAAATCCAACAGAAGAGTTGACCCTTCTGCTATCGGGTTGCTGAGAAGAAAATCCAGGAAAAAACATTACTGATAGCTAGGAAAGTACAGGTGAGATTGCATAAGCTTATGAAAGCCTAACACTTTAAAAATAAGACTTATAGCTACGCCTGACTTTGTACCTCACAACACTGTTGTACTCCAACAGAACTATCAAAGTGGTATAGAAGCATGACTATCAGCATTAAATCAAAATACAGAATTCCGGTATGAAGTATGATAAATATAAAATAGAAGTTTATATAAGACCAAACAAAATCTCAGGTTCAGATTTGACAGATAAGGACCCCTTCCTTACCACTGCTCTTCTCTCCCAACATTATTTTCAAAAGAAAGAATTCTATTTCTGCATCATCACCATTCTTTAACTGTATCTCATGACTATAAAAAATACAAAACTGAACCAACTCAACAAGCTTTACTCCTGATCAAAAGGAGTATTAGTACTACATGCAATGAGATTATGTATTTCTTTTCTAGATAAGGGAAGATTGAGAATGAAAACAGAAAAAGTTCAGATTTATAACCAGCTATCGAAATGAATTCCCTGTCTTTCAAAATATTCTAATGTACTGAAGATTCTATATACTTTGAATTTGTTTTTTAAAGACCAGAAAAATACTCTAATGATAAAGAAAAAAAACCTTCTGAAAATGTATCTGAATAAAATATTCCAGGCCAAAGCTATAGTTTTATATTATAAAAATACTGATAAGAAATCTTTATTAAATATATTCTACAACATTATGCTTAACAGTAGCTGACAAAGACGTATTTATAAAGACAATGAGAAAGTAATACTACCTAAATTATAGCAACTCTAATAACCAAAATGGAAATAAATTTCATAAAATTGCAATCAATACTGTAGAGCTACACAACTGTACAAATATATACTTTTTTAAACATAAGGTTAAAAACATTCATCACTGTTCAGTGTAAAATGCCCTAAAAAATAATATTTAAAATGTGGAATTCTAGTTGCACTTACAAGGGATAAAAATACCAGATAAAATAAAGATCTTTTCAACAACCACTGGTTTTCATTCCAGGAAAGTTTTAGAAGAAAAATCCAAAATAAGACGTCTAAAACAATAGTGGCGAAGGAACCAGAGGCATTTCCTTGAGGGGAACAAAAGTATGATCATTAATACTGACAAGAAAACTATGGGCTCCCATACAAAATCCTACTGTCTGCAGTCACATGAACGCTGTTGTTCAGAGGTAGAGAAAGAAAACAACTCCAAATAAAAATATGTACTTAAATTCTTCTTGAGAAAAAGGTAACGTTTACTAGTAACATTCATTGAAGAAAGGCCTTTAAGGGTAAACAATAAGCTAAAACTGTGTAAATCGATTTTTCCTTTTAGTCCTACCTCTTCTGCCCTGATGATATTTAAAGAGAACACTGGTAACTGTAGCCAGTCCCGTGGTAGATCCGTAACAACAGGCTTCAGTAAGCCAGTCAACCCATGCATCCTGACTTCGAGTTTGTGAGTAGTAGCAGGCAGATCCCACTCAGCGTGCGCACGCGCACACACTTACACATGCACATCACACCACATTTCATCTCATTTAAGATACCACTGATTTCTATCACATCCCAGCTGTCAGGTGTTAAAATTTTTTAAACATTTGCCATAGAATCGATAACGTACATTTCTTATAGTATACAGGGAAAGGTAGAACCTAAAATAAACAATACCTAAAGTAAAGAATCATAAAACTAATGGGAAGAAAGGATTTTCCATATACTGAAATGAAACGCAGGAGAGGAAAATAAATGCTAGACAGTCCGTACTAGAGTTCACGCCCTTTGGAAGTGTCCCACTTACACCACCACCAAGTGACACTAAAAATCACCTGTGTCCTTACCTTAATTACTGTGTTCACCAATTTTTGTTGGATGACATAAAGGTCAAGACAGAGAAATAAGAGGTCTTACAACTGTTTACAAGTTCAAGTGTGAGAATTGTAGGCTATGGATAAATTACAAAAATTCGTTTCAAATTCCTCCACCCCTCGTACGGCAGTACGTGCACAGGTTTTTAAAGAACACTTTAATCCTTTATGAAATGTTTCATGGAAATTTTCTGGTGACTCTTTCCACTTTCTCATATCTCATTCCCTCCTAAACCCACTCCCGTCAGCTTCCAACCCAACCACTGGAACCAGGCCACTGAAACTTCATGTCGAACTCGCCAGTGACCCCTTCGCCGTCTCTGTGATCCCTTTTCTGTCATCTTGACTTTCAAACCGAATTCAAAACTGCTGACAACTCTCCTCCTCCTAATAGTCTCCTCTAGATTCCACCACACTCTCGGTCTCCCTGTTTCCTCGCTGGAGAAGGTCGTCCTTCCTCCTTAACTCAAACTCGCGCCACTGTAGTGCTGAGATGCTCCGGGCCCCGCTACTCTTCCCTGTCAGCACTCTCTAGCTCTAGGAACTAGAGCTCATCTAGTCCCACTGCTTCAAATACCACTGCAAGCCGCCATCATCAGCACTGGCCTCTTCAGAGGTCCCAACTAATTTATCCAACTGCCTGCATATGATGTCCACTCAGCTGTCCGCTGCACATCTTGAACGAGCACTGCCAAAACACAGCTCTTGATTCCCGCCACTCTCCCATCTATCCTATGCCTCCCTCGGTCATGCCCATTTTAGCAAATAAAGAGCATGACCATCCACACAATTGCACAAACAAGAATCTAAGGGTCATTTTCTATGTCTTCTTTCCCATTATGTCCTGCAGCCAATCCAGTCCTATTGACTCTTACCTCCATAATATAACCCAAATTTACCTCCATCTCGAATAGCAGGCTACCACTCTAGAGAACACGTCTATATCATCTCTTACCTAGACTAGTGAAATAAGCCCAGCTGCTTTCCCTCCTTCCATTCTTGTCCTCTACAATCCATTCTCCACCCAAAAGTAATTCTCCAAATAGAGTAATTTGAAAAATGCAAACCAGGGTATATTACCCTACTTAAAAACTCGCTATGACCAGATTAAAATCCAAACTCTCTGTCATTGCCTGCGCTGCCCTGAGATTCCAACCCTGCCTGCCCTGGCCTACCTCCTTAGACTAATTTCCCACCACTTCCCTCTACTCACCGAGCTCCAACTATGCTAGTCTTTGGTTCCACGAACGCACCAAACTCATTACCAACTCAAGGCCTTTGTATCTGCCATGCCCTCTGCCTCCAGCTCTTAACATAGATGGCACTACCACCATCTTGTTATTCCTGTCTCAGCTCAAAGAGGTAACATCTTCCCTCACCGCCTAGCCCATACAGCATCGACCCTTCAATCATCACCACAGAACTGTTTTATTCTCCTCATAGCTCCAGTACCTAGCACAAAGTAAATTTTGATTAATGAAGGAATGAATGAATAATCAGAAACAGGAACAAGAGAAAATATAAAATATCAGAAGAGACTGATGATTATCATTAGTTAGGAAAGATCAAAAGGCCAATTTGCTTTACAGGTTTTTAACAGTCCCCCTCTGTCTCAGGACCTACCATGAACCCCTTGGCATAGCTTCTGGCCTCTACCAAACGCTCCTGCCTCATCCTCTGGCATCTCTATGCCTAATCCCATTAGAAACTCCAAGCATGCTATGATTTCTAACTTTCCCTCTCCTCTTGCAAGCACCCCTGCTCTATCTACCAGACTGGATCAAGACCCCTGTCTCTATCTAGAATCCCTGTGTCTTCAAATTTCTTTCTAGCCAGTTTCCATTACTTTTCAGTTTCAGCCTCGACAATGACTCCTCCAAGAAGCTTCTCCAGACCTAAGAGCATGCTTGGATCCATGTGCTCCCACAACGCTTGAAAAGGCTTCCGTAGCATTTATTATCCTACATCATTAGTGCTTGTTAAGTCCTCTGTCTCCCTCATTACACTATAAAATTCTAAGGGGCTAAGAACAGTCTTATTCACCACTGTACCCCTAACACTTACCGTAATACCTGGTACACTAAGTGAATAAATAAAAAGAAATAAGAGAAGAAACTGAAACACAAGTCACTGGGCACTGCTACAGAGTCTTAACCAGGAAAGTATAAAGAGTAGTTTTCTTTGGGGAAAAAAAGGAAAACAAAATTATTATCCTAATGATTTAAATCCCTTTCTATGAAAAGCTGCTCAGTCATTAGTATTTACTAAAAACAGAAAGGATGCATGTTGCTGGACTATGCACATTAACAGCCCAAATGTGCTTTTACATACACCAATCCCTAAACTTTATACTATCTAAATCTATAACATTCTTACTGGAATTGTATGAAGTATCATTCAGATTTTCAACACTGAGATAAGCTGTCCCAACTTTTTACAAGCAGAATCACTTGAAGATTAACTACATCACAAAGAATGAAAATAATAGCACAGGAACTCTGTCCTCACAAATAAAACTCCATTCTAAACCTAGTTTGTCAGCCAGATCAAAATAAGTCAAAACAACAGACATGAATCCCTCCACCAGAATAACCTGGGGCTTAAAATGATACTAATCAACTCATGTATCTCAAAATGTTAAACATCGTGCTGTCAGCACATGGAACTGGGAAGATCTTACCTCTGTTATCATTTTACAGCTTTTACAGGGTCCAATCTGACTGAATAACTGAAGTATGAGGACTTCCGTCACATCTCTGGAGAGGTTACCTACGTATCTGAACAAGAAGAAAAAAACATCAGCAATTTTCTTTCAGCTCTGGCTCTAACGTGTTATCATTTAACTCATCACCTTTTAGTTCATTTTCACTCCTGTCTTCAATAAAACTTTCCAATTAAGCTTGATCCTATGAAAGTAAGATTAATGCCTATTTAGGAAGGCAACAAATGTTCTTGGGCCACTAAGGTACCATTTCAAAAGACTTTACAAAGAATAAATCAATGTGACCTTGCATGCCCCAAAAGCGTATTATTCTGTACCCTATATATCATTTTCTCATCTTATTAGAATAAAAATAATAAAAATTTAAACCAGTCTTAAGATAGCTATAATTTCTGGAGGTGAAATACAATTCAAAATAATGTATCACACACACATACACACACAATACCACAAATATTGATTCATTAACGCTCCTAATCATTGAGGGTATTATATATAAGGCTGAGTTTATCTTAGACCCCCAACCAAAGCAATTACATTAAGGAAGAACAGAATTAAAATTACAGAAAGCACTCAAGGATTGGAGGGTTTTGTTTTGTCTTGCTAAATTAAATTGTTATTGATGCTATGTCTTCACTGTTTTGTTTTAGGAGAGCAGGATAAAATAATAAAATTTCCTAGCCTAAAATACATCAGAATCAACAAAATACATGTTTATGTAGATCAAGCAAATATAAAGATTTCTTTAGAAACTCAGAGAAAATTTAAGACAAATCCAGGTATACTTTTGACTATGCATATGTAAAGAATTGGGATTATTTTTCAAAATTATAACTTGAATATATGTATTTTATATAAGAATTTTAAAACACAGATAAATTAAACAAAACAAAAAAGACACCACCACCCAGAGACGATCACCTTGGTTTCTCTTGTATCATGGATTTTAATTTAGCTTAATAAATGTTAACCTTTTAAATGTTTCTGGTACTCGGTGTATAATTGCTAAAATTTGCCTGTTTGAACCTCATAAAGCAAATAATATTTGTAAAAATTAACATAGAGAAAGTACATGAACATGCTTTATTTTCCTAATATAAAACATCTGGAAACTGAGTACTGAGACCAAAATAAGCCTTGCATCTATTACCATATTAAATACATAACTGCTTTGAGATGGAACACTCTGAAATGGAAAAACAGACTGACAAAGGTCAGTTTACATGTAAAAGAAAATTATCTGATTAAGAATGAATAGCAATTTTCCAGTTTGGTTAAGAAATTCATTGCAATGAGTGTTAATATCTTTAACTTACATGTTCTAAAACTGAAATACAAGCCCAATGTTACTTAAATAGTAGACTAAACCAGTGACAAACTGGTTTAGGTCTACCTATGCCATCTTATCCTTAGAATTGAAGTAGAACAGATACATTGGTAGGCCATACAATGACATACTTTATCCAGCAGTAGTGAAAGGTTATAGGATTATGAGCTAGCCAGACAACTGCCTGCCCCTTAATTCACACAGGTTTGTGAGTATGCGTGCACGGAATAATTTTTTTGTACAAGGTAGATCTACCTAAAAAGAAAATAAGCAAGTAACGCTGGTCTAAGTGTTACACTCATCTAACCTAGAGCGCTAGTTAGCTCATTTTTAAGAGAATAGGAGTGAATAAAACCGATTTTCACATACTGAAGCGAACTAGTAACAAAATTAAAATAGAACAATCATTTGAACATAACAAATTTTAAATAGTTATAAATTTGCATTACTATTTAAAACATTGATTTGTTCAGGAAAAACTGCATTAATTACCTTTCATATCTAATAGTCACAATTAAAGCTGTTACTGTTTAACAGAATTTTTATTCCAAGTCAACCTATTTCCAATCAGTTATAAATTTTAAAGACTTTCTAGGGGAACATTTAGATATATTAACTTACATTTGAAGCACTGTAGCCAAAGAGTAAAATGTTAATCTAAGTTTAGAATGTCATGAAATACTTCTACAATCTAATTTTAAGGTTTCCTATTTTTTAAGTATCTCCACTAAAAGTCCAGTGGTAAAGCAGCAAACTAAATTCCCAAAACTATTATAAAAAAGGCCTTCTACAAAAACATGTGGAACATCTTAATTTACCAGTATAAAAAAGATATAATTCACTAAATAATTCTACCTAAATTTTACTCAAATCTTAGGTTGCATTTTCCTTTACTCAGAGTTCTATAATTTATTTACATATGCCTTTATCATATTACACAGAGAAACACGTCACAATTTTTAAAATACTGTACTGTACAGCTTAAGTACCTTTATATTGTCACAAAAATTATTTGTCCCAAAATAAATACTAAAAAATATTTAAGATTACATAAAATACATAAAATGGTCAACACCAGACCTGGTAAGAATATTACCTTTTAGTGTACTGAAATGAAACCGTTTTTCTTTCTAAATTATAGTTTCTAAGCTTTCTTTCAGCTCTGGTTATGAAGCAGTCAACATATTCTAAAGTTTCAAGTGTTTAAATATAAAATCTCTACTTGAAGAACATATATAAAACAACAGAGACTAATGGCTCAAATTCTTGTATTGAGAGGTCAATCCAAAGAGTAAACATTTAGAAAATTCCAAAAAGATTAACTCAAGGGGGAAAAAAAGGCATTCCATAGATCTATTTTGTCATCTAAGAAAAGGAACTGCAGGAACTATAGCATTCAAAATGGAAAATGATGCCTTTATCCCTAACATCAGGGTTAAAATCCAATTTGGGACTAGAAACTTGGCAGTTTCACAGTAGGGCAAAAGTTCACATTGCCAAACTACTTCCTATGTCCAACTGAGCTGAATTTTAAGTTAAGAATATCATGCCTTTCAGAAGCCTATTCACACTTTTTCAACACTGAATATGCTCTCACTCTGAAAAGGGTAGCCCTACCCAGGCTGAAATTACCAGCACTTTTATACAAAGTACTATAGTCGAATTATAAGAATGTAACATTTTTGCTTTTGTTCTTGACAAGTTCCTATATAAGAGGAGATTTTGCAACAATGTCCTTCAATAGGTCTCTAATGAACTAATCGGTTTGTCAATATTTCATTTTAGGAAGGAGGCAGGGTAGAGGAAAGGTGCAGGAGGTACAAGTGAACTGACCAACTACATGAGGGATATTGACATACAGACACGCACATTTTAAAGAAACAGAATATGATCAAGTTGAACGAAGGGCTTAATTACAGCCAAATCCATGGTATAGCAAGTCAATTTTATAAATTGTTAATATTTTCTTCTGCTACTGCCCTTAGCTGTTCAGATTATACTCTAAATCATTGGTTTATTTCCTCCTTTCGACTGAGTATCAGGAGGAATAGCCTTAAAGGATGGCAATGCATAACGTGGTATAATCCCAGATCCACAATTCCTACTCATTTTGGTACATTGGACAGATGAAGAAAATAAGCTACAATAGAACGTCATTATAATTTAATGTCATATTATAGATCAGATATACCATGGATCTAATCACTGCACTCAAAGATATCCTCAATACAAGTCTGAATTGCGTGTCCTACAAGGTAGGTGTCCAAGTTCCAACGCCAGTTCTACACAACATGATCTCCTGTTTGCTTTTTCAATTCACAAGTTACTCAATACATATTACCCCAAAATAAATGTCAAATGAGAATGGAGAGCATCAGCAAATAGACCTTTAAAGCAACTATATGACAAATAAACTTTATGTTTAATATCAAAACAATTCTATACCACTTTAAATACCATCAAATAAATTAATAATACTGTAGAGGTAATGAATATTTAAAGACCTACCTAGGCTATAAACACCATATTGTTTTCTGATGATAGAACCATATGTCTTAGCTTGTGTGTGTCTGCAGGAAAAAAACCTCACTAGTAACACACAGGCATTTTAAGGAAACAGTTTAAGTTTTGTTAAGAGTACATTCTTTTAAAACATACTAGCCACTTGAAATACTAATCAATAGATCACAATGTAAAATAAAAAGATCTCCATAAATAAAATAAAACCCTACTAGACATCAATCTTTAGAGCCACATTCAAAGTTTTCATCAAATATTCATATCTAAAGAACTCTGAAAATATGTAAAACAGATACTTAAACTATTATGCATTATTTTTATTAAAAATCCGATCCCGAAATCCCATTTGTGAAACATCTGCTTTTATCTCAAAATTTTATATTTGAAGGTTTTTAAAAATATGTAAAATCAACAGGCTGCACCATGTATGGCGGTCGTGTGTGCCTGTAATTTTAACCCAATCGAGACTGTTTAAAAAATGGACTTAATACTAATTTAATAAAAAGAAGTATAATCATTGTAAAATATTTGAGTACCTCTTATGTTCCAGGCAGTGAACTAAATGCTGCAGGGGTAAGAGCTAGGAGGATGTACCAGTCCTTGTCTAAAAAAAAAAAAAAACCCCTTCCCATGAGAAGAGTGGGAGAAGGAAAAAGAAAGACAGAATAGTAAGCATGTACTGATTGATATACAGGTACACTGAAGCCCATGATGTTTCTTTACTCATATGTACAATTGTCACATTTTTAGACAACTGTAAACAGACAACTTAAGTGTTTCAGAGAAAGAACAAGATATTGGAGAAGTTAGAGGTAAGACATAAGTGACAAAGAAGTTAGCTTATTAGTCTACTGGAGAAAGTGTAAGCTATGATGGAGATGAAGTATAAGACAGATGCGAAGATAGTTACATGAATTAAAGGTATTGAAATAGCATATTATTTAGCACAGCAAAAACAGGAATTTCTCTTCATAAGGAATGGATAAATATAGTTAATAAGAAATCAGCCATGAGAATTTACCAATTATTCAGCAGCTATTATGATGCAATGATGACATTTTGGATTTTTAGATACAATGTAATTTTTTCTTTGTTAAATACATGCTAGCAAGGCTCTAAATCCACCTTTCCCAGATGCTTCCATCAAAGTACACATTGCTAACTAAATACTAAGCCTTGGCTTCAACAGATGTTAAAGGACAAATTTCAAGTTTGTCTCATTTCTCTTTTCTGGGAAAAGAAGGCTGAAATGGAAGAAAGCACAAAACAAATATAAAAGTTTCACTAAGCAGGCTTTTGATTCAAGCATCTGATGCGCTTAAATTAGCCTCAAATTCTCAAAACAGAATGGCAAATAGCGAGACATAGGAATAGGACATAGGAATAAAAAAAAGTGCAAGCCCCGCTCCCCCCCAAAAAACAACTAAAAACCAAACCTGTATCAATATCGGACAGTTATGTTTTACTGAGCGGACTTTCCTTGGTAGGACTGAAGAGATGAGAAGTTAGTCAAGCTTCCTGAGTACCCATCCATCTTCATCTATTCCCCAAAAAGCAATTTCCCCATCAGATAGCTGAGCCAAGTGAACTATGATCGTATAAATACCAGGCAAAGGCAAAAGAAAACAAAGCAGCGATGAGACTCCTTGTACTCGAGGTAGGCGTGTTGAGCTTCGAGAGGCTAGGAAAACCAGAGGTGCCCAACTTAAACATTTAATTAGAAATTACTGACTTTAAAAAAAAAAATTCAGGTTAAAGAAATGTAAATGCTGAGTCATCACTCTTCTTTAGGAAGGAAACTCGAATAAGTGGTTGGAAGATGAAATTCATTCATTAGATTGGGCTTCAGATACAAAGCAACAGCAAGATAGGAGAAAGAGCGCTCAAAAGACATAAATCGAATAGCGGATAAAGACATCATTTTTCTCCGACTCTGAAGGTCTCAACGCACAGATTAAAAAGAGGTAACACTAAAAGGGCATAAACAGTTTAACAACTGGTTGTCAGTTTGGCGTAGGTAGCGCTCAAAGTAAACTTCGTTATCCAAGAAGGGAAAGATGCTCCGGCGGCAAGTGGCATCCCTTCTGCACTTCGAAAGTAGCGGGCGCTTGGCGAGTGTGTCTGACAGCGTGGGCGGGGGCACGTGGGGCAGAGAGTAGGGGATCGCGCGGCAGAAGAGTGTCCGGCTTCCTCAGAGAGCTTAGCTTTGGGAGAAGAGCCGGGAGCGACTGGAGCTGGGGACGTGGAGGGCACGAGTGCTAATTCCTAGGGGCCCGCAGGGGATGCGGCTGCGGTCCCACCCCTCAGTCCCACCCCCACCAGGCCCTGCCCCCGTGGGGACAGCTCCCGGCCCAGCCCAGGGCCCCAAGAGCAAAGAGAGAGCAGGAGCTCTCCCGGGCCTGACAGCCTCTGCTATGCAGAAACCCGGCCTAGGAAAGGTGTGCAAAAGGAGCGAGAGAAGGTCGAAACAAGCCCCAGGCCCCAAGAAGTGACTGTCTGGGAGAAGGGAGGGCTTCCTTCCCAAGGAAAAGGGGACAGATGAGGAATGCACTTGGCGTCCGCGCCGCCCCGGCCAGGGGCCGCCAAGAGTCCCAGCTTCGGCCCAGCTCTCCTGCTCCCTCCCACAGCGTCCAGTGATGCCCGGGCCTTTCGGCGCCTGGCACCCCCAATCTCGGGTACTCACAGAGTCCGGGGCTGCCCGTCGTCTTCCATCATGGTGGGTGCGACGGAGCGATCCCGGGACAAGGGGGAGGGCAGGGCTGGGGAGGGGAGGGGGTGGGGGGGAGGGGGGGGGGGTCCG